AACCCCCCCCCCAAAAAAAAAACCCCCAACAACCCAACAACAACAAACAAACAACAAAACCCAACAGCAACAAAAAACAAAAAAAAACAACAACAACCAAGCAACAACCCATACCTGGTCCTGTGTGTGCCTACCTGATACAGGTGAAAACTGTCACAGCCATGAGCTGTGTGATCAAGGTGACGCTACAGCCTACGTACGTTACAACGCTCAGAGCAAGCTCATGCGCCGCGCTCACCTGGTTGGAAATATCCAGTTTTAGTACAGAACAGTCATTCAATCCCTTGCTCACCCAATGGCATTCTCAGGTGAATGATAATCTTCTTTATCCTTACCCATCAGTGAAAGTGCCCACAGCATTAAATATTAGGTGGCTATTTTAGAGGTTGTTTTTACATTCCATTTTTTTTCTCCTTCTTGCTTTTCCGCAGGAAAAATGGGGCGGGGGATAGTTGGGTTCGAGTGATAAAGGTTGGTTTTGCTGCGGATATTCCACATTGGTGGAAAACCTTATGACATCACTTTAAGCTGTTTTGTCCTTAGGATTTTCAGATACCACCCACCTCTTTCTTCTATATCGCTGAAGACGATGACCTGGGAAAGTCGAAATGAAATTACATGTGTATGGATGGAAGACCAGAACAGTTTGCCTTTGTAAGGCATCAGCATCTTCTGCTTATGTCAGCACCCCCCCCCCCCCCAATCTGTCCTCAGAGGTAGAAAACAGAAGTGGATGTTTCATGGCAACGAGTACGTTGGGTAGATAGAGGAGGTGAATAGTTTTCACGATTGAAAAACCCTTTTGGTACCTTTGTTCGGCAAAATATGAAAAGAAAATCACAGACTGTGAAGATTTCCATTTTATATATAGTGAGCTTTCACAAATTTAATACCGCTATCTGTAACAATCATAAGGCTGTTAATAATGAGAGAGCCCATTTTAAGTGCCACAAATCCTGAATTCCCACAGTGCCATTTTTGTGCTTTGATGTCAGTTTTCATAGATCGTTACTTCGACCATGTATCAATAATCTGGCAACAGTACCCCGATTTTCAAAAGGCTTGTTGCCACGGGTAGAAGTGTGTGGTATCTTCCACTATTTTCCCAATTCTGTGAGTGAGTCCCTACCTCGAAATCAACAACCCGCATGAGAAGAGCGAAGTTGGTCGTATGGTTACAACGACAGGTAACGGCATTTTCCCGTGTGTGACGAGGTTCCTTCCACGTAGAATGTGCCAGACAACAGTCAACAGTTTTGTTACAACTCGTGCTGTTCAGGCTCTCCGTGATCTCTTTGTTCTTAGTTGACTGGACCAAGGTGCAGCCAAATGTATCCCATGTTACGTTTCTGTGGGAGATCAGTATTGAAACAATTGATGCCAATATCCTCTCTCTGTCATGTCTCAAAGAATCGCTACGGTTCAATTCAAGCGCCGGCGTTTGAAAGGCTTTAGTTTATGCATAATGCAATCTAAATGTGTTCTTTGGACGAGAACGTGGCCTGCATCGTGTCACTCTCCATAGTGTTGTTAGTATAATAAGATCTTCTTAGGAAGCCTTTGAAAGACTCTACATAAAATAATTCAACTTTGCTTTCACTGACCACTGTGAATGGGTGCGAGAGCTATGCGCAACATGACTTCGTAGTCACATTAATTGTTCACTTTAAAAAGAACTCTCAAAGGATACATTGAATGAGCTGAATGGGCAGATAACGTAATCATCTTAAAAGTATATGGTCACTTCAAGTCTACACACAACAGACAGACAAACAGATAGATAGATAGATAGATAAATAGATAGATAGATAGATAGATAGATAGATAGATAGATAAATAGATAGATAGATTGATTGATAGCTCACCTCCCACTAGTGGTCTGGAAACCACACAGCGCGCTGTGAAGATCTTTGTCCTGGCCAGAAAGGAAAGGATGGTGCTTATTGTAATATCAAAAGGCTTGTGTTGCTAATGAAAATAACGTTAGCTGGTATATGAATGGAATTTCGTGATGTTTTGAAAGTTCTATAGAGTGTTGAATTCAGAAAACGATTTTTGTTACGCATACGCTGTTCACTGAACAATGGAAAGAATCATTGCTACGTGAACAAAAAATTATTTATTTTTACAAAGTAGAGTTTTGTTCAAATGCTGGAGACTGAAAGAAGGAAGTGTATGATATAAAACACATTTTTGTTGTCCAGATCCTGGCACATTGGTTTGGTTGGTTTAGTGTTTCACTACGTAAACGCACACACACACACACACACACACACACACACACACACACACACACACACACGCACAGACACTCGCGCGCATACGCACAAACACACACAATTAAACATACATACACACATACACTGAACACACACATACACACACACACGTATGCGCACGCGCGTGTGCACACTCATACAGACTCTCTATCACATCATAAGAGTAGGTGCCGTAGAAATGCAGATGGCTCACCTTGACTTGTGTAGTTCTCAAAGTAAACGTGTGGATAATGTTTAGCTTGTGGTGGCCGTCGTAAGCTCTGAGACTGAGCACCGGACTCACAAGATTTACGGCCACGTCGCCAGTGCTGTTCAGAACACAGAGGATATGTACATGTCAAGAACTGGAAGCAGTGACGTCACACATGTCAGACATGGGGGCATTCTTACCCTCATCGGCGTGCCCTGATTTACTCTTTGGTTCAGAAGAAACTTAGTGAAGGAGAAACTCATATTGCAAAACTGATAAACAAGAGACACTAACAAATGGAACAAAAACAAAATCGATAGAGCAAAAGTCACACATCTAATAATATTTCTCGTTCTTACCCCACCATTCCACTCATCACATGGGTTTGAAATATCTTTCCAACGGAATTCCAATAACCGATCTCGCAAGTCTTCGCAAATTCTTCCGCATCACTGGTCAGACCTATTACAGGGGGGACTCGTGGCCTTGAGGTTAAGGTGTTCACCTCTCATTCAGTAGGTCCCGGGTTCGATTCCGGATAGCGACAGAAAATTTTCTTCTTTAATATTTTCTCTTTCACACCCTTTCCTGCTCTCTTACAAAATTCTGTCGTCTGCTTTCGTCTCCACTTTCTACCCCCACCCTCTCACCTCCTTTGCCCCCTTCTCTGGGATCCTGATTCTTTCTGCAGCCCTTCTACTGCTACTCCTTGGCTCCTTCCTACTGCTCTTTCAGCCACACCCCAGAAATGTTGGTAGGAAAGATCTACACCTAGCCTTCTCGGACAAGGGTGAAAAACCTCGTAGGCCCCGTGTGTAAGTTGCAAATGTTAAAGATCCTTTGGTAGTCAAAAATCGATAAGAGTAGGCTTCGGTCGCCATCCGGACAAATGTTCAAGATTTCCTACCAACTGAAAATGTTTAGTGTGTCCCGCGTGCTCATATAACCTTATGCTTATGCAATTGCAGGCGCCGTGACACACTTACCAAAAATTTTAAAAAAGAAGAAATAAAAAAAAAGATTCATCAAAAGGTGAAGTGGGGATAAGTTGTGTTATTTGGTTTTATTCATAAACACCCCCTACTAAAGCTGAGGTGTTTTCCTGTCGACAAAGGAATACATTAATGTCTGTCTGTCTGTCTGTCTGTCTGTCTGTCTGTCTG